AGGAACCAAAGAGAGATAAGCCATGGGTGGGGAAATAGAGCTGGGAAAATGAGAAAAAGAAAAGTACAGAGGAAGAAAGAGCAGGGAGAAGGACAGGGGGTGGGGGTGGGGTGGTAGACAGAAAGGCTCAGAGAGTTTCTAAGGGATGGTTGAGCAGGGATTAGGCTCTGCACTTGACCTGAACGACAGGTTTACAAATGTGACCACTTGTGTCCTACAACTCTTCTGAGAGCCTGATTAACTCTCTGAACACTAGTCACAATTCTCCAATGGTCAAGAACTTACATATTGAGCCTCAACTTATATTTGAGCCTCTACTTTTTTTTGCTGGTAAGTTTTAAAAATGTTTCTTTTTATTGGAGTATAATTGCTTTGAGCTTCCCTTGTGACTCAGAGGTAAAGAATCCACCTGCAATGTAGGAGACAGGGGTTTGATCCCTGGATGGGGAAGATCCCCTGGAGAAGGAAATGGCAACCCACTCCAGTATTCTTGCCTGGAAAATCCCACTGATAGAGGAGCCTGGTGGGCTACAGTCCATGGGGGTCATAAAGAGTCAGCCACAACTGAGCAACTAAACGACCGCCAACACTTGCTGTTGTTGGTCAGTCACTAAGTCATGTAGAACTCTGTGACCCCATGGACTGCAGCACACCAGGCTCTCGCGCCCTTCACTATCTCCCAGAGTTTGCTAAAATTCATGTCCGTTGAGTCAGTGGATGCTACCTAACCACCTCATCCTTAGCACCTCCATCTCCTTTTGCCTTCAGTCTTTCCCAGCATCAGGGTCTTTCCCAGTGAGTCTTTGCATCAGGTGGTCAAAGTATTGGAGCTTCAGCTTCACATAGTTGCTTTATAACAAGTTAGTTTCTGCCGTACAGCAGTGAATCAGCTCTACGTATACATATATCCCCTCGGTTTTGGATTTCCTTCCCCTTTAGTAACCACAGAGCCTTGAGTAGAGCTCCCTGAGCTCCATAATAGGTTTTCTCATTAGTTATCTGTTTTATACATAGTGTCAATAGTGTATCTATGGCAGTCCCATCCTCCCAATTCATCCACTTCTGTTTCCCCTTTGGTATCCATACTTTTGTTCACTATGTCTGTGTCTCTGTTTCTCCTTTGCAAATAGGTTCATCTGTACCATTTTTCTAGATTCTACATATATATGTTAATATGTGATAATTATTTTTCTCTTTTTGACTTACTTCACTCTACTCTTTATCAAGTCATAAGCAGAACATTCTGTCCAGAGAGAATAAAATAACCACATTAACAATAATCAGAACAAAGTACCTTTAAGTCTTAGGAAATCAGATCACCAGACTGTATTCACTCATGCTAAGTTTTGCTACCCCTGCTTTGAAGAAAGGGCATTGAATTTCAGGCTGTCTTTTATTGTGGGGTTTGTAATCAGTGCTGGATTTCTTATAATGAAAGTTCTTGATTAGTAAAGAATATACTTTGAAATTTAAGTATTATGACCTCTCTTCACTTGACACATACTCTACAAAAAGGAAAATTCACTGTAAGTCATGAGTGTGAAATTTTTTAAGAAAAATGGTGACCTACCGGTGACTGTGACAGAGTATTTATGCTTTTAGTAATGACTTTTAGAAGAAAGGAAGTCACACTAAACCCTTGACCATAAACATGAGATGTTTGTACACCATTGGAGTTTGCGCTTACTCTTTCTGAAAAACCTCTTGTATGATACCATAATTTGTTAATTGTCTGACATATGTATACCTATGGCTTAATTAAAGCAGACATTAATTAAATAACAGACATTTCTGATTCACCACTTGAATTATCCATCTGTAATATTTTCATTTGTTTTGCCTAGTCCTAATATTGCTCTCTGGAGGAGGGCATGGCAACCCACTCCAGTATTCTTGCCTGGAAAATCCCCATGGACAGAGGAGCCTGGCAGGCTACAGTCCATAGGGTTGCAAAGAATCGGATATGAGTGAGTGACTAAGAACACACACACAATATTACTCTGCCCTCTCTCACATACTGTTTGATGTGTGGTGTGTAGTCCATTGTCATCTGAATACAAAAGTTGGACATGAACATCAGTGGCATCAAAGATACGTTTTATGAGATACCCATTATGTGTGTAGGTACAGTGCTCAGTAGAGAAAATATGAGACCAAGAATTCCTGGCCTTACAGGCTTAAAATACACTAGAGGAGACTGAACATATGCATAACAAAGAATTAAATACTAGCATTTAATTAATAGACACTGGTATAGCTTTTGATTGTAGCTTTCATGTAGTTGATTGGAAGGTAAACTTAAGGGAGAAATGTGAGGGCTTCCCAGGTAGTGCTAAGTGTTAAAGAACCCATCTGCCATTGCAGGAGACACAGGAGATTGCAGGTTTGATCCCTGGGTTGAAAAGATCCTCTGGGGGAGGAATTGGAAACCCACTTCAGTCTTTTTGCCTGGAAAATTACATGGAATTTGTATTAAATTATTTGTAATTTGTATAATAATAATAATAATAAAATAAGTTTAAAAACAGGAGAAATGTGAGTTTTCATATTCTATTCAGATATATCTCCCTGTAGTGGGCACTTCACATAAAGTATCTCATTTAATTGTCTAAACACTGCCTATAAAGTTTAGATTAAGAAATTGAGGCTTAGAGGATTTGATACTTGCCCAAATTATTGTAATTGTCCTTTATTGTAAAAATAGGCATTTTTGTCATCTGCAATGAGAGTGTATATGTATATGCTTTAAATACTTCTGTATCTATGTAGTTGAAAAAACTCCCATGTCAAGTATATTTATTGGACATATTTGAAATACTTCTTATAGTTTCCAGTACAATTTTTTCATAAATTTGACTTATTTTCATTTGCGAGAATACTTGGCTTACAGGTGGAGAAATAAATTTAACTTACAGTAGTGGAGAGACCAAAGACATGGTAAAATTGGTGTGTATCTTAAAAGGGAATTCTAATTATAAGGTCCTCTTAAATCTAAAAGCTTTTCCCTTTGGTATAAGCTATTGACTGTGTGAAACATGGTGTTTTACATTAAAAATGGTGTTTGAGGTGAATTGCTTGAAGCACCATGGTTTTCTGCAAAAACATTATAGAGAAAGATCAAATAAGAAGATGCTTACTGCTGCAGATCAGAAGAATAGATCAATAAGAGGGACTACTAAAACAGTCATGTTTAAAAAATTAGTCCACAAGAGAAAAGAGCTGTGGGTCAAAGAATGTAAACACACACACACATTCTGACATATCCTATGTACACACAAACTTATATACACATAACATGTAAATATATATGCATTTTAGGCAAGTGATCCAATTAACTCCATTTATGCATTTTTCCAGCCATATACATTAGCCTTACTAGGTCTTTTGTCAGCTGCCCTGTGGAGAACAATTAAAAAATTGACTATTCAGCATTTATCAAACCCTCACAATATGTAAGCACTGTGCTCAGTGATAAAGATATAACAGAGAAAATAGTCCTGTCTTTCAGGGCTCCCAGTATCCTTGGGGGACTTCCCTGGTGGCTCAGAGGGTAAAGCGTCTGCCTATAATGCAGGGGACCTGGGTTCGATCCCAGGGTCGGGAAGATCCTCTGGAGAAGGAAATGGCAATCCACTCTAGTACTCTTGCCTGGAAAATCCCATGGATGGAAGAGCCTGTTGGGCTACAGTCCATGGGGTCGCAAAGAGTCGGACATGACTGAGCGACTTCACTTCAGTATTCTTGGGAAAGGTTTTATTGCAGTGGTGTGGTGAAACAGAATAGACATTCACAGAGCTTCAGAATCCTGGAGGAGATGTATCATGGAGGACTTTTTGGAGGAGGTGATGTCTGAACTGAGTCTTAAAGAGAAAGCTGCAGTTAGTCAAAAGGAAATGGGAAAGGTGGAGGCCCTTCCAGGACACCGCATGAACAAAGGCCAGGAGCTTGAAACAGAATAGTGTGTATAGTCTGGGGATGCTGGCGTACAGTGATGAAGGAGGAAAGAGAGGTGAGGGTGGAGAGGTAGGTCACATCTACCAGGGCTCAGGGGACTTCATACTGCCAATTACATAGGGTGTTTGTAGGGATTAAAGCATGGTTAAATCAGATTTGTTTCTTATCAGATCATTCTAGAAGCTGTACAGAGAATTTTTTTTTTTTAATGTGGACAAAACCAGAGCTCAGGATTTAGTTTCAGATGCTATTGTAGAAATCTAGGTAAGGGGTCTTCCCTGGTGGCTCAGTGGTAAAGAATCCACCTGCCAATGCAGGAGACAGGAGTTCGATTCTTGCTCCAGAAAGATTCCACATGCCGTGGGACAACTAAGCCCATGTGCCTCAACTCTTAAGCCTGTGCTCTAAAGCCCAGGAGTGGCAACTATTGAGCCCACATGCTGCAACTACTGAAGCCCACTGACCTTAGAGTCTGGGCTGCAACAGGAGAAGCCACTGCAGTGAACAGTTTAACAGGGACCGGGTAATACAGGCAGAGGGCTTAAGCAATGTTCAAAAGGTTCAGTTGGTTAAGACCTGGTGCTTATTTGCATGTGGACAGATGGATGGGAATTTCTTAGAGTTTTAGCTTGGGTAGCTCAGTATGGGGGTGCAGAGGACCACACATCTGAGAAGGAACATGAATTGATGGGGGAAGGTTGGAAGTGTGCTGGGTTTAGCTTGATGTGTCTGTGTTTCATTTGGGAAGAGTTGATCAGCACAGGGATAGTTCAGAGCTTGAGAAAGAGGTCTCCAGTGACAAATTTGGGAGCTGTCTGCCTATAGGTATATAAAAAATTGAATACAGCTTCTTCTGCATAGTACATTGTGTGGTCTTTTCCTCCTTATGCCTTTTAAGTTTTAGCAAAGATGTACATCTCCATCAATACACAGTAATTATTATTATACCTCCGGGTTGTGCACGAACAGCGGAGTGATCTCAGAGAACAGGAAATGCTTTAGGAAAAATGCAAGTAACCAGAGGCTTTGTGGTTGCTTTCTTCCAGGTGCATCCGTGGAAATGCCTGCTGCAAAGGGATCTAGCTTGAGTTGACCTTCCAGCGGCTCATCCTTTTGAGGACCCTTTGTGCAGTCCAAAATGGCAGAGAAGGTTCCCCCTGGCTTAAACAGGAAGACGTCAAGGTCGACACTTTCTCTTCCACCGGAACCAGTGGACATCATTAGGAGCAAAACGTGCTCCCGGAGGGTGAAGATCAACGTGGGGGGTCTCAACCACGAGGTCCTTTGGAGAACGTTGGACCGGTTGCCCAGGACACGCCTGGGCAAGCTCCGGGACTGCAACACACACGAGAGCCTCCTGGAGGTGTGCGATGACTACAACCTGAACGAGAACGAGTATTTCTTCGATCGGCACCCAGGAGCCTTCACTTCCATTTTAAATTTCTACCGGACAGGGAAACTTCACATGATGGAAGAAATGTGCGCTCTCTCTTTCGGCCAAGAGCTTGATTACTGGGGGATCGATGAGATCTACTTAGAGTCGTGCTGCCAAGCCAGGTATCATCAAAAGAAGGAGCAGATGAACGAAGAACTCCGGCGGGAGGCGGAGACCATGCGGGAACGTGAGGGTGAAGAGTTTGATAACACCTGCTGCCCTGAGAAGAGGAAGAAACTCTGGGACCTGCTGGAGAAGCCCAACTCGTCCGTGGCTGCCAAGGTATGAAAGGCAAGAGTGTGACTTTCCTACGCGTGGTTCGAAAAGGCGATCCCTATATTCTAGAATATATCGTGGTTTAAGATGTTTGGGTAAGACGTAGCATAGGGTGGCTATGCAGGGAGACGTCCTTTCCAAGATCTTATGGAGTGAAGTCGAGTTATTCTTATTGATAGGCATACAATGGCATTACTCTTTCCTAAGTGTTTTTTGTTACTTGGGAACAGCCTAGGTGCTTGGATGTTGAAGACTGCTCACCACCCAGACACCGTCTGGGGTTGGTGACTTGGAGGCTAAGGGGAAACATGAACTCAGATCCATCCGGTGTGGAGTCTTGCAGAGAGGCCTGGGCACCATCCTGAATGGAGTGAAGTGCTGTCATTGAAAGTGGAGGAGGTGCCTCCTGGCCTGGTCCTCTGGAGGAGCAGGGGAGACTGGAGAGCATGGTCCAGTGTAGACCAGCAGGGCTGGGGCCCCCCACATGAGGAAGGGTTCGCCTTATGAGGCAGGTTAAGGGGTGAATCAGTGTCAGCGAGCATCGATTGACCTCCTCTTGTGAGGTCTGCTCTAACAGTGTTGTTTCTGTTGGTGTATAATTGTGTTCACAATTGAAACGTTCCCATATCTCAGATCATAAAGTGTTGGCTGAAAAGGAAGGTCAGTTTACATTTTTCCATTGGTCTTGAATACATCTCAATCTAAGAGTAAAAATTTTGGCCACTAGTTTCAGTATTTAATTCAATTGCATGACAGTGTTTATATAAATCTATTTGGAGCTTTGAGGGTTAGCAGAAACTGATTTTCATTGCATATATTTAGTTCTTTATTTCAGTATGAATTGTAAGTAAAAAGCCCAAAGAGTCATCTTTAGCTGCAGAAGCATAGGATTGACATTTTGTGCCAATTAGTTGAAAATGGAATATGGAGTAGAGAAGAGAAAACAGTGAATAATCCTATAAATTCTTTGGATTACTTACTATCTTTTTCCCCAGTTGTCTTTTCTTATAAACAGTAAAAATTATGGAAATATAATTGATTCTGTGTGCCTTTGACTGAAAATTAAAATTCTCCATTATAGTCTACAGCACGTAAATAACATAAATTATCAACTGGATGCAGACTATCATAAAACTGCTTCTTGCACTGATTGATATTTCTAGTTTTGCATCTTTTGACTTATAAAGGCATTTTACTTTCCGGCCAGGATGTGGAACTAAATGGAATGAAATGTTATTTCTGCTGTTCATGATGAGGAAATGCACATTTTGTGGCAAATGAATCAACTAGGTCTTTTGTAGTTATGAATAATTTGTTTCCTTTTGTTTTATCTGTAGGAGAGAGATGTGGACTTTGGTTGAGAAAGGTTACTACTCTTTCCAATGTCAAACCTTTTAAGTTACACATTTGAGTTACTACTAAAAACACGGAGTGAATTTTGAAGCTGAATAAGATAAATTCTGGGTTTAGGGGAGTATTTTGGGTGTCAAATGAACTCTTTCAAGATTTTAGGCAATTGAGGAATAAATCATTGTACCACCAGATGGTCCAGAGGGAGTTAGCCAAAGATAAGCAGCTAAATCAAAGAAAATTTGAAAGGCCAATTTGATTTATTTGCTGATAACATTATTAACACACATCTAAAATTAAGTATTGTTATAGAAAAAAATTTCAAGTATGTACATATTTTTTCTGAAGAATTTCTGATAAGGATGCAATAATGTCAGTAATTTCATTCCTGAGATGACAGAGTTTGTTTAATCTCTAAATTGTAGACACAGAGCCATGTCTTGATCTCTAAGAAGGTGTTGTTGATAATGGTCTATTGTATATAGTTGTATATAATATAAGCACACCCCTCTACATCAGACAGAGTATTTAAACCTGCTTCAGATTATGTTTGCACAGATATCTACCTGAAAACTATACCCAGCAGCTAAGACCTTGGTTTTGGAAGATTTTGTGAAGTTGTAAATGATAAATCTGGTTCCAAATTATTAATCAAGCTAAGCGAATTTCTGCTAGCCTAAGTAGATTCTCTACTAAATTTTCATAAAGGATTTGTGTTTGTTTGTTTAAATGTGTAAATTTCCATCTCTGTTTGAATGGGGAAATGTTATACAAATTCTTTACATTTGATTGCATGGTAGTTAAGTGAAAGTATTGTTCATTTGTCTGAGGTTTGGAGCCTTTTAGAAACAGCTCTGAATGATGCCTTATACAAACTACTAGCTACCTTTCCTGTACTCTTTTCTAGTCGTCTAACTTGTTATTTTTCTGGAATAATTATTGGTGAGGGGAGTGCTAATGTGATGTGTGTGTGAATATGTGTGAATAGTATTTTTACAACTTGGGGAAAATTCATTTTGTCAGTGCTTCAGTAAGATTGTATTCTAGCTCTTACTATATTATAGGTACATCAGGATCCTGCTTGTGCTATGAAATTTTTATGCAGGAATGCTTGGAATCTGTTTTTTTTTTTTTTTTTTTTCTAACTTGCTTGAGAGGTAAGATAACTTTGGAGGAGAGTGTCTGTTTACCTTGCTTTTTCAGTTATTGGGGTATGTGTGTGTGTGTGTGTGTGTGTGTGTGTGAAGTCACTTCAGTCCTGTCCAACTCTTTGTGACCCTATGGACTGTAGCCCACCAAGCTCTTCTGTCCATGGGATTCTCCAGGTAAGAATACTGGAATGGGTTGCCATGAGTTATTGCTTATTCAGTTGAGTGTTTATAGAGGGTTCTCTGTGCACTACACACATTAGAGTGGACATGTGGAATCACTCCCTTCTCTCCAGAATTTAATAAATATTCTCTTAGCATAAACAGGGATTTCATATCCTAGAAAATATTTGTTTTTGTCTCTTTTGGTTTTTCTGTATTTTATAATATTTCTGTAGTAAAATATAAATGTTATGAAATTATATAATCCCTAGTATAGCAGGAAAAATTGGACATTTTCTATCAAATATTCCATAGTAAGTTAAAATATCTATTCATTGACATGGAATAAATACTCAGTAATCTATTATGTAATAATTCTTCAGTCTGTCCTAGGTGTATCCACTGTGATATGTAAAATTATTGCAAGGCCCCCTTATCTGTCATACCATCTCTGGGTATGACCCTGACAGTAACAATTCAGCTCTTATAGAACATGCTCCTTGGTGTCATTTCTATTCATTGAACTTTCTAGTATATTAGTTAGTGGAAAAAAAAAATGGCAAATAGAGTTTAAAAGTGTGATATATTTAATATGTCTATATTTAACAAATTAGCATTTTTACACATTTATAAAATACCATGAAATACAATTGTACTTTCCCAAAATAGACACTTTGTGAAAAACAAAGTGTTTTTGGGGCATGGTATTGCTGGATAGAATCACCGATTCGATGGACATGAGTTTGAGTAAACTCCGGGAGTTGGTGATGGACAAGGAGGCCTGGCCTGCTGTGATTCATGGGGTCGTAAAGAGTCAGACATGACTGAGTGACTGAACTGAACTCAGCTGATCATCTGGTGATGGGACCTGAGCTTATATCTGTGTGATGGGCTTTGTTTTTCAATCCTGTGTCTCTGGTGACTGTAAATTTTCCCTCCCATAGAGATAATGTATAAAGTTTACATTTGAGGCTATTTGTGAATGTGGGGGTCCAGTCAAATGGGCCTGGGGAGATGATTGGGACCAGTCTCTGGGTTACCACGACATGGAATTGCAGGCTCTGGGACACCTGTCATAGGAACATGCAAGGGGAGGAGATGGGCTTAACTGGCCGCCAGTTTCCTGGGCAGTGATTTGGAATTAGATGTGATCCTGTAACTCTTCCAGCCCAGGGCAATTTAGTCAGCTTCTGAATTGGAAACATTTTCTTTTTCTCTTTGGCCTCTTTCCCAAAGGAACTGCAGTAGTGATTCCCTTTTAAATACTGCTTACAGTGACTCGGGTCTGAGAGGTGTTTGAAAGCATTTATTTAGGGGAAATGGTTCTATGGCTGGCAGGCTTTTCAGCCTTTGGGATGAAAAACGACCAGGAGGGTGTACAGCCCATCTGAGAGTTGTAGGGGGCTAGACTCAGTACGTACAGTGCCCTCACTAAGGTATCTGAGGAAGGTCAAGGGCAAAGGGAGTCAGTGGGTCTTCAGAAAAACCCAATTAGGAATGGCTGAGCCCAAGAGGCAAACCTCAACCCAGCAAGTAAGAGGATGAGGTGCGCAGACAGTGCTCTATGGCCTTCTCATGTGAAATTCTGCTCTCCCTCTAACAGATTGTTACTGGGCATGGTGGGGAGATCAAGGATCACTTTGGGGGCCAAGAGGTCTGGTACAGGTCTGTTACTCCAGGGAAGGTGAGAAGTCTTTAGAAGCCACAGGCATGGAGAAGATGTGCGGCAGCTTCCCAGAATGAGCCTCCCTGAGTTATGGGCGAGGGTTATGGTGGTACATTTCCTGCTTGTCTCCTGAATGTTATGAAGAACCTTACCCTTACCCCTGCATTCGTTATGGTAGTCAAAGACACTTTTTCTTTTCTTACTTTTCCTTTCTTAAGTCTTGCTTATTTGAGTTAGGCGTCTGTGAAAGTGAAAGGGGTCATGGCTCAGTCATGTCTCACTCTTTGCGACCCCATGGATGGTAGCCCACCAGGCTCCTCTTTCCATGGGATTCTCCAGGCAAGAATGCTGGAATGGGTTCCCATTCCCTTCCCCAGAGGATCTTCCAGACCCAGGGATTGAACCCCGGTCTCCTGCATTGCAGGTGGACTCTTTGCCATCTGAGACATCAGAGAAACACTAGGTGTTTTTGGTTGTAAGTAAAAGAAACGTGCTGCCAATAGTAGTAGTAAAACAACATGGTGTCTGCTAGCTCCTGAATTTGAAATATCACAGTTTCAACTACCAGGGCAGGGGCAAGTTCAATCCTCAGTCTATCCCAAGTCTAAAATCTCAGGGGGAGTGTTCAACTTAGGCCAAGTACCCACTCTAAGCCAACCAGCTGTGGTTAGGGCAGCCAACAGGTCGATCCCAGGGATCCGGTCAGGAAACCAGACTGTAAGCAGTCTTAGTAAGGACTATGGAAGGACATTGCCATTTCTGCCACTTCTGTTCATCTCAGCCAGCGCAGAGAGAACCACCCAACAGTCCTGTTGGACGGGATCCTGGGTCATTGGGGGCCACTGTTTATCATCTGCTTCTCTCTCTTCAGTTTCCCCATTTCCCCTCAGCTGCCACTTTTTTCGGGGTACCTTTTCCCCATTCTCTTCTCCTCCCTTTCCCCAACCCCCCTTCTCTCTCTCTGTCTCTCTTTCATCCTCAGGAAAATGCAAAGGATGATTGAGTAAAGAATTATTAACTTTTTCAGTAATGACCCCCTAGGGAAAAAAATTAAGCTAAATTTAAATTCTCTCTAAAGAAAAATACTGCATATGAAGGAATATGATTTTGTCAGGTAGATTCAACACTAAAGGGCTACAAACTATTGAAATAGCTAAGAATTTTTTCACCCCTCCCCACAAGAACCAATTTTCTCCTCTTGGCAGTGACACTGAGAATGCATCAAATGCAGGAAGGCAATGACTGTGTTTCCTGCTTCTGGCTCATGAGCTCCAAGGTATTCATATGGCCACCATCACTGGAGGGACGCAGCAGAGTCCTTAGAGCAAGCGTGGGAAGGATCCGGAGACCTTGGTTATCATTGGACAAAGAGGGAAGTTGGCCAGGATAGATGTCTGCAGTCTGTCCCTAGACCTCCAGCTCTCCGAGGAGCCAGAGACCAAAGTTATGAGTTTCCCAGGAAATGGTGCCTGTTGGTCGCCCTTCAATGATAACCGCCCTCTCTATTCTGATGGAATTAGAATGTAGACCTTTCAAGTCACAGAAATAGTAAAAAGAAAATAAATCCAAATAAAACAAAATTCCTGTGCATTCATCAAGAGGAAAAGAATACTTAACGTTCTGATTCGATTTATAGTATATAGATCAGTTAGTCTCATGCTTTGAATGAAAAAAGAAAGGTATGAAAGCAGAGCCATAAATTACTTCCTTTTAGTCCAAGAAGAGAACTTTCACATGTTATGCATGTGTATACACACACACACACACGTGCATAATTCTCTACTTACACACACACACATACACACATATATACATACACATATATATGTCTCTCTCTATATATAGTCAGGTAAACAACATTGCTCATACAAAACCCTCAGTTTAGCTCTCTGATAACTTTCTTAGTGATTAACAGTAACAGTAACCATCAAAACCATAAATGGGTGACCCAAAATAAACAATGCCATATGAATACACACAGAAATCTCCCGGCATTGGGCCCCTCTGTGGATTGAGCCGTACTCTAGTTCTTGCCTTGAATTGTCAGTGGCCTAATTAGTGCGCTGGTCATGCTGTTTCTGTGTTGAATGCTTGCTGATTTCACTTCTTGGCCTTTCCTTTCTGCATTCCAGCTGCACAGATTAGGTTTTTGCATTTTTCTGATAACAGGGCACAAGGGTTTGGAGGTGCTCACAGGAGTTAACAGAACTTGGCCAGTCTGTAGATGATTCAATTGGAGATAAGTTTTTCTTTTTTAAAATATATAATCCATGAACACTAGCAGGCTGAAAGTCTGAAAGAAATTAGGTATAAGAGAATAAAACAGATAAGGTAGAAAACAACATTGGGCTTTTAAAGAACATTATTTATTTTTAAATGGAGGATAATTGCTTTACAATATTGTGTTGGTTTCTGCTAGATATCAACATGAATCAGCCATAGGTGTATGTATGTCCCCTCCCTCTTGAAAATCCCTCCCATTTCCCTCTCTTTGATGGCTCAGTTATTCCATTGTTTGTTTCCAGATCCATGCATCTCTGCTTTTCCCAAAAAACTGCCCTGGAAATGCATCACTCTTTATCCACTTGGCCTCGCTTGATCAGAAAGAGAAAGGTGAAAAAAGAAGAAATTGCTAGAAAATTCACATCCCATGTGCTTTTAGCAGAGGGGGACATAAGTCCTGGTTTTGCTGAGAATACCCCAGTTAAAGTTGTTAGACTTTTGCCCTATTCTAATTATTAATAACACCTCCTTTCATTCTTAAAAATTCTCCTTTCATTCTTATTATTGAATAATAAGCTATGTGATTACCTTACATGAGAGTATTTTTTTAAAAATAAATTATCCACAAATCACATATGTTTCATTTCCTCTTTACTTCTTGGTTATGTCTTAGGAGGGCAGTCTTAATTTTCATCTCTTGAAAAATCACTAGTTTCCATTAAATACTAAAAGAAGACATTCAGATTCCTTTCAATCTTGATTTTTAAACCTCAATAGGTAATTATCATTTTCAAAGTAAAACAAAAAACAGCTAAGGAGTTCTTTCTACATTATCTAATGTTATCTCAGAACATCAGTAGTATTTAAATATTCTGGTTTTAAAAATCCACGTACACTACTTTGGTTGTTAACAGATTTATTTTCTTTATTTCAAGTGAGAGACTTTATAAAGTGACGAATGTACTACTTTAGGTAAGCATAAGTATTATGAAGGAATGGTCACAATATTTAGCACTCTCCACTTTGGAAGGCTCTAGAATAGTTTGAATAATGTTTTAGATTAAATATTCTTATCTGATCTTTATCTCCCATTTAAAAAAAACAAAGCTAAATGAACACTTTCCAAATACTAAGAGTTTATAAGAAAGTTTCCATGATGTATATGCCTTGACGTCAGAAAGCTTGCCCATCCTATTAGCTTTTAAGCATGTTTGATGTCTAGTGGAACTTTGCCCTGAAAATCTCATTGAATTAATTGTATGATCAGTTCAGTTCAGTTCAGTCACTCAGTCATGTTTGACTCTTTGATTATGTTGTTACTATTTAACTTTTCCCCTGGTGTGTTAGGATATTCAGGTCACCCTGGTAACTATCACTTAGTGCTGTGATATGTACAGATATGGGCTTCTTCAGCAGGAAAGAATCTGCCTGCCTATGCCTGCCAGTGCTTGAGACATGGGTTCAATCCCTGGGTCTGGAAGAGCCTCTGGAGAAGGAAATGGCAATCCACTTCCATATTCCTGCCTGGAAAATTCCATGGACAGAGGAGCCTGGTAGGCTACAGTCCACAGGGTCACAAAGAGTCAGATGTGACTGAACAAGTAAACAACAAGAATGTGGTACAGATATAGCAGTTAGTTGCATTGGAACTGAACATGGGAAGATGCTATTCTGAATTTCGCTGATCTTTCCCTTTTTTCTAGCCACTGACATATTTGACAAAAAATTTGTCATATAGAATGAAATGAAATACTCTTTTTCCAAAGAACTTGTTAATACTTGTTTATATTATGGAATGTCAAAGTAGCCAATTTGAATATTAATATTGCATATGAAATATTTAAATTTTATTAATATTACATCTGTATAAATTAAATCATCAAAAATAAAAAGTTTTGGGCACTTCCTTTCTTTTAACTGGTCGAACCTTCTACCTTGTTTCACAAAAGAGACAGTTCATGAGAAACATACACTTTGAGTTAAAATAAAATAACAAAAAAGAATTAAAAGCAAAAAATAGCACTAGAAAAAACATATTTTAAATTGTTCCAGTAACAATAGGGAATGCTTCATATTTTGCAAAATGCTTTGTATGATTTTAATTTAAAAATGACAGTCTAACAATTTAATAATAGAGTTGAAATTCATAAACAAAATTTTGTGTTCATGATTAGAAAAATTTACCCATCTGTCTTTAGAGAAACTTGTTTACTGACTCAAAGTAAGAACCATTCTTAACACAGAGACTCGGTATACAGATGTGAATTGACCATTGATAAGAAAGATTTTTAGAAAATAATTATCAAAATTGATTCTAGATAAAGTACTGAAATAAAAATTTCTTTCAATAAAAATATGATTACATAGGGAAAAATAATCCTTCCTGCTAATGTACAATTAGTGAAATAACCAAGGATTATGATAGATTTTTTAAATTTTGGCATTGATTTAGCATTGATGGTTTTATACTCTTTGAGAATAACCCCCAGAGTTGCATGACATTCAGTAATCTATAATGTGTGAGGTATAAATCTGAATTCTGTATAATGTAAGGTTTGTCTGTAGCAACTAGTGACTTGGAGAGTTTAGCTGACCACCAGGCACTGTTACCTTCTCCCAATCTGTTTTTTTCTTCTGGTTGTCATATATACTAACTGTCATTAACTGCTCCTATATTTTATGAGGGGGGGACCCTATGGTATCATAGAGATTCATACAGGACACATCCTTCATTTAAAATATCCTATTTAAAAATGATAAGAGTGATAGGAGCTTTTAAAGCATCAGTCAGTCTGAAAATTTTTCTTGTCCACCAATAGCCAGGGTGGTTGTTAAAACCCTTTCTACCTCTGCCGTGGAGCAGAGAAGGATAAAAGAGTTCCCAGGTCGCGACTGCCAGCATTTTCCATGGAGTATGTGCCATTGGAGGCAAGCTGTACTTTCTATATCTGTAACGTTGTAGTTGATGATAGCTTTATAGTTTACAGTGAGAACTTTGAAGAATTTCAAGAGACAGAGACTTCTCAGCAATTGCTCTGTCAGTCGACACACAAACATAACCAATCTAGAAAAAAGCTGTTTGACATCGATCAGCTGGGAACAGAGAACTATAGTGATGGGCAGTGGAAAGTGGGGGAGGAAGGTGTTTGTTCTCATCCTTCTGAAACTTTTCCTGGAGGCACTGAAAGTAAACATAGAGTGCTATCAGACTCTGCACCTATGTATTATTTATTTGCAGCCGTGTATACATCAGTGTTTAAGTTAACTCGTTAGCTAATGCAGAAAATGGATGGATTTTTTCCCCCTTTTAAATCATCCCCTTTAATGTCTTTATAAAGCTTTAAATGAAACAGTTTTGGATATTACCAGCTATCAAGTAGATAACTCCAACTGATGTTTGTGGTCAAGCTTCTGTGTCTTGTAGCAGCAACCTTCACAGAGTGTCACCTGAACTAGGTCAGTTCTTGAGTGTGTGTGTATGAGAGTGTTTCTCATATACTGAGTTGACTGAAAAGTTCATTTGGGTTTTTCAAACGATGTTACGGAAAAACTGAAAGGAACTTTTTGGTCAACTCAATGTAATACCATGCTACCTCTTCATTAGAATGTATTATAAAAACCCACCTGCACAAAAATGCAATGAACTTCAACCTGTATTTGGTAACTTAAGATAGGTATAACTTTGTCATCCAATTACGACAGCTTGTTCAGAATATAAAGTTTATATTTAAATATAAAGCAAATCTGATTGGGCATGAAGTCCATGGAAATGTTCTAAGGGTCCAAGAATAGCAGGAAGAAGTATTTTCATTAGTGTTCCAGGATTTTGTTTCAAGATGCTAGAGGTCATTGCCACCCTGGATCTCATGCTTTTACTTACGTCTTGTTGAGTCACTCTCAACATAACCACAAGTGTTGAATGCTACTTTAAATAGCTCCTCAAGCCTAAGCCACAGCAGGACAAGGACAGCCAAGTAATCCCAGTACAGCTCTGAATGGGGTTGCTTGATTGGAGCATCCTTCACTGCAGTCAACCTCAGAATTTTTGCATATGAATGAAAGAACCTCCAACCTTCTGATTGTTGTTTTATTTAATGTTAATATAAAACATAGAGTGTGATTTTAGATGTTGGTGTACAGTTGTCTTATCTGGTATCATCTAAATTAAATCCACAGCCAAATTTGTTTCTCACATTAGTTTTTTCTTTTAAAAAAAGTCATATCTTAGTTTGCATCTTGGAGTTACCTCTAAGTTTTGGGCAACATCTTGTATAGGACTATCTAACTTGTGGGTTTCTCTGATGGCTCAGTGGTAAAGAACCCATCTGCCCTACGGGAGATAGGAGTTCTATCCCCGGGTCAGGAAGGTCTCCTGGAGAAGGAAATGGCTACCCCCTCCAGTATTCTTGCCTGGGAAATCCCATGGACAGAGGAGCCTGGCAGGCTATAGTCTATGCAGTTGCAGAGTCAGTCATGACTTAGCGACTGAACAACAATCTAACTTATACATTGGTGTCCAAGTGTGCTGTTTCAGCCAGAATTTGGTTGAATTGGAAAATAAATCACACCACTGTCTATGAAGTTTAGCAGCAGATTTGTACTGTGATAAATTAGATGTATTTCATTAATACAGTGGAAAACTAGCAGAGACCCTGTATAATATCCTTAAGGTAAGCATCCGGTTCTATTTCAGTGCAGTTTTGAGTTTAGAGGCAGAAAAATACTGGTAAGCAATCTTGTTTTTTAAAAGGTGATAATTTGTTTTACTATAGATGCAATGAGCTGCATATGCAATGAAAGAAAATATGAAATAGTAGGCTAGAATCTAGGATAACATGAATTTACGCTTATATATTTGCTGTGTAGAAAAGCTAGTACATTTTATTATATTTTGTAAATGAGTTCTGCAGGTGTGAAAATTACTGTATTATATAAGTAAAGTAATTGAATTATGAGTAATATTAAAATTCAAAATAAAGATCTGTTTTAAGCACTGGTATTTATTTTTCAAAGTCTTGCTCATGAACCATTATAAATGTTTTAAATTGCATGGCATGTTTACAAAGTGCTAATCACCTATGCTTTTTTTTCCCCAAAGTTTTGTATATAGATTATACATGAAGTAGCTTAAAGGAGAGCAAACCATTTGATAGGCTTATTTTATTAATAACATTATATTGGGTATGTTTATCTATTGAAAAAAAAAGTTACAATGGAAAAAATTGCTTTGTATTATGTATGTGCCGGTGTTTGTTAAGTTATCTGGCGAATGCCAAAGTGTTGATGAACTTTTCTACCCGTTGCCCTTTGATGCATACATCTGAAACTGAGTTGGAAGATCAGCTGATAGTCTGTGCTGTTTTATCAAACATTCTGACCTGGCTGTGATGCTGTGGCCTCACAGTGTAATTTTAGTTAAGAAAAGGTTCTCCAAGGTGCCATGTTGCCACCAGTGGGCACTTTGAAAAATATCCAAATGCCTTTCTCACTGCAGCT